CCCCCCCCCCCCCCCCCCCCGCAATGGTGGTCGAGTACAGTAGGTTTTGTTGTGTGGGGTCGAGAACCCTCACTCCGCGCAAAGGGGATGATCGCACCACATTGTGTTAAATTGGTCAAGCACCCTTGAGGCAGTTACACAGTGCTTATAACTGTGTCGAATGCCGAACACCCTTAGCAGGATGCAGCTCACCCTTCATGCGACTCGCCAAATACCTCACGGCGCTTCGCGCTTGGTGATGTGAGAGCCTGGTCCGGTGAGAACCCGGCGTGCTCCGTCCCGGCTTTGTAGGGATGCGAGGTCAATGGTCAAACGACTACGGCATGCACGACTATGAGTACACCCCCCCCCCCCCACCCTGACTAAATAGCGCGTACCCCCCCTCCCATATCTCGCCCGCAAGATATACGAGGCGGAAGGGGCCGATGGGACTATCGGGCCGATGGCGCTCGGCTCCGTGGGGTGGATCATGCCCGGGGTTAAGACCACGGAGAAGTACTACAGCTACAGGTACCACACCGATAAGGGGGGGCTCTTCCTGCCGGACAAGCGCTACGGCATCCCTGTGCCCCACCTGCAGGAGGTATTTATTTGTTTGTTTGTGTGTTTACTTGCTTAATTTTTTGTTCTATTTTTGCCCAAGGCGAACGTTGCTTTTGTTTGGTGGTGGTGGTGGTGGTGCTGCTGCTGCTGTTGTTTGTTGTTTTTGGCTAATTGCACATCCCTTCGAGTTGTCGGACATTTCGTGCTGGGGATGTGTCCGCCATCAAGTTACCTAGGTTATTGTCGATAGTAGTGCGGCAAAGAGTGTCTGTCTCAGCCAAGTTGTGCGCACGCCAGTTCCAACGACATCCTGGGGCAGGGAAGCTGTTGGTGACAACAACGTATCTCTGCAAATCTACCACTACCCGACAATGCACCGCATTTCCGTTGCGTACAATGCGCTTTCGATTGTGCTACTAAGGGACTGGCGGCGGTGGCGACCCCCAGCGTATGTTGTCCATCAATCGCCGTGGGATTGTGGCCGGATATTCGCCCGAGCTATGCAAATCTCTCGCTCGTTTCTGTATTTTTGTATTTTGGCGGGGGAGGGGCGCCCCGGCTGTCACGCGTGACCGTCGCGGGTTGCAGTATAGACCATCGCATCCCTACGAAGCTGGGACGGAGCTTACCGCGATGAAAAGAAGCTGGGACGGAGCTTACCAGGTGTACTCATTGCCGTAATGGGAGGTGTGAGTGCGGCGGGGGAGGTGATGCAGATAAGAATCTGGGGTAGTCGTGGGTCACGCAGTCAAAAGCACCCTCACAGCATTATTATTTCGACACAGCAATATGTGCTGGGAGTTTTATGCAGCCGCCCTTACACTTGTTTTGCTTTGTTTTTTCTCCTTCTTCCCCCCAAAGGTCGATTTGCTATGCAGCCACTGGTTCGTGGAGACTGACTGGGTGAAGCTGCTGTTCCGAGAGAAGTGGGAGACCCCGCAAACGGGAGAGGTGAGTTACCCTTAGCCTCCAATGCTTTTTTTCTGTCATGTCTCTCGATTTGGAGGCGTCCTACGTTGGGTATTGCGTACGCACCGTGCTTGACGTCGCATGCTCCCCGACCAGTTCTTGCTTCAGTTTGGGCTCCACGTCCGGGAATAATGCAGCGGTGGACATGCGTCCGTGGCCCGAGTGATCTACCCGCCTTCTTGACAGCGCATGCGGCTGCTGTCTTTCATGATACTGTATCCAAGTTGTCATGACAAGAGGGCACCGATGCGCCCGTACCTCTTTCCGCCTTCACCCCCTTTTTTTTTCCGAGCAGGACTACATGCTTGCCTACTCGCTGCGCAAGCACGCCGGGGTGCGGTCGTTTGTTTTACCCATGGACCTTGGCGACAGCGAGACTTGGGGCAACGTAGACGTGGACTGGAACATGCAACACCAGGTGTGAGAGAAGGCCGAGGTCAGGGTGGACAAGCGTTAGGGCGTGGGTTGAGGAACAGAGGAGGGGGGGGGCTGCGAAGGAATGGAGTATTCGGGTGCGGTCCGGTCCCCCCCAACAGCATGCGGATACGTGCTTTGGTTGGACCGTCTGAGAGAGTGAGTTCAGTCTATCGACTCCCTCTCCCCTCGTTGAGGCTTGTAGGGTCCCCCGAACAGACCGAAAATCAACCCGCTACACGCGTAACCCCATTCGCACCCGCCCGCTCGAAACCTCCTGCACTTTGCTTTGCTCTGCAGGGGGGTGAGGCGACAACGCTCCGCAGCACGGTGCCCATGCGCGACCGCATCTGGCACCGCCTGTTCAAGCGGGGCGGCGAGTACTTCATGTCCCTGCGCTACGCCTCTCGCCCGAGGCCGCTGCTGCTCGTGGTCGACGGCGCCTTCGACGCGCAGGCCCTCCGGGCGCTCTTCCTCGTGCTCCAGGACTCGTACCCGCCCACAAGCGGCGGCGGCGGCGCATCTTCTCACAACCTCGAAGAAGAAGAAGAAGAAGCGTCTTCGTCGTCGGGGGTGGGGGTCCCGCAGCGCCCCCCCCGGGTGGTCCTCACCGGGCGAGGTGGGGGCTCAGCGAGCTGCTCTCTGGCGGCCAGGGACCTGGGGAACACGAAGGACGGGCGCGTCAGCCGCGGCGGCGCCACGCTTTGCGACCCGGACACGTTCGCGTCGGCGTGGAACCTGGTGGCCGGGAGGCACTTCCCCCGGCAGGGCACGAGCAGGGGCGGCGGCAGCGGCGGCCGGGACCACGTGCTCATGGTCGACCTCGCGCTGGGCCTGGCGGGGGCCGTGAGCACGGTCAAGCCGCTGGCGATCGTCAGCGTCGCCGGGACGGGGCCTTCCGCGGGCACCCCCGGCGGGGTGGGCGGGGGCGGGGCGGCGATCGACGAGGCGGTGGCGGTGGTGGCCGGGCAGGCCGGGGTGCCGGTGGTCCGGCTGCCGAGACGCGCGAGCGCGAGCGCGGCCGCGCTGTGGCTGTCGAGGCTCACGCCCAAGGCGTTCCGGGCGTGGCACAGGCCGCGGGTGGACATCGTCGTGGTGTACGAGCCGTCGCCGACTAACGGCGGCAATGGCGGCGGCGGCGGCGGCGGGGGCGGCCACACCGAAGCGCAGCTGGAGGCCCTCCTGAACAGCATCTCGGAGGCTCACTACCTGGGCGACAGCGTGGGGGTGACGATAGCGGTCGCGTCGGGACCCGTCCCGGATAGCGTCGGGGACGAGTCCTTCCCCTGGCCGCGTGGCCGCAAGACCGTGCGCGGCGGGTCCCTTTTCCCTTCCAAGCCAGCCGACCTCGTCGGCGGTTCAGCGTCTCCGGCGACCCTCGCTCTGCGATCGTGGATGCCCCGTGGCGACGACGAGGACGACAGCTTCGTGGTGGTCCTCGAGGCGGACCGGGTCGTGAGCCCCCTCTTCTACTCGTGGCTGAAGGTGGCGGTGCTGGAGACGAGCTACGGCGGGGCGGCGGCGCCGAAGCCGTCGGCCTCCGACCGCCGGCCGGCGGCGGCGGCGGCGGGGTCGAGGGGAGGCGTTTGCGTACCCGGCGACGCAGGGGGGGAAGCAGGCGGCGGCACGTGGCTGATGCCCGCCGGGCACTGGCGGGCGGCGCAGGCCCGGTGCCTGAGAAACAAAGACGGCTTCGAAGGAGGAGGAGGAGGGCCCGGGACAGGGTGCGAAAGCACGGGTTATCCGCAGCCGTCCGAACGAGTGCTGTGTCCGATAGTGACGGAGCCGGGCGAGGCCCTGGTAGGGAGGACCGGTGCGGACGGGGCGCTCTTGGACGGATGGCCGAGAGGCTTGATGGAAAACGGGGATGCTCTGGCAAGCTTCGTCGAGCGTGTTCTGTTTCCGTAGAGGGGGTGGTGGTCGGAGGGGGTTGGGGATTGATGTCCACCGGTGTTGGCGTGCAACACGCGACGGGGGTGAGACCGATTGCGGGCATAGGCTGAAGGGGAACAGCCCGGAGTTTGTTGGAGCAGCTGTAGTTGTTGCATTTTTGCCATTCGGTTGTGCTCTCATTCTTTTTTGTCTCTGCTTCACTTCTGTTGTCGGCATGAAATTTGGTGTTTGTAACTTCCGAAGTTTGAGTTTTATCGTGTGATATTGTTGTGTACTGTTTATGCATGCACGTGTCTATGTATGAAAGTTTGTAAAAGAGTTTATATTTATCGAAGTAAGCATTATTTGATTGTAGCTTTCCAAGGTGGACCCCTACATGACGTGTGGTTAAGTGCCTGTGGATGCGCCTTGACGTGTGCTGTTGATGATTTGACTTGACGGGGTGACTGAGTGAGTGTTGAATTGCATGTGCGAAGTTGGAACACATTCGTTCTGCCGTCCGTGCTTTTGCGCTAGAACGCAGGCAAGCCGCAGCACTCGCCGGTGCTTTGGAAACCTCTTCCGGGATAGGAGCTCGCGAAGCAACACAGCCAGCCTAGTCAACCGCTTTGGGGTCCCCGACACGTGTGCGCGAGTACAGTACTAATTCCGGGACGACACGATAGCTCTGTTGTACGCCTAGCCTAGAAACCTAGAATTTGTCGTTTTTTTATCTTTTTTTTATCTTTTTTTTGTGGGGTTTTGTGTGCCGTGTGTACGAACAACAAGTTTTTGTGTTCGTTTTTGTTGTTGTGAGAGCATATTGTGCGCGCTGTCGCGACAGGACAGCCTGGTAAGTGACGGGGTCCGATACGTGAGGCAAGGTGAGTAAGCAGAGAACTTCATTTTCGCTTTGTTTCGTGGTACTAATATATGAAAGTAGGGGGTAATTCCCTGCGCATCATCCTGGCCGCCACACCTTGTCAACCCAAAACACGACACGAATCTTGAAGCTCGTGGCGTGACGACCAGCAGGACACGGGGATCTTTATGTCTACTCCATTGTCAAAGTCGCTGTTAATACCCCGACCTTTTTGCTGGGGGCCCAAACGGAGTTTGAGGAAACATCTACAAGTAGCGTATTGTAAGTGCCACGAACAAATTTGGTCGGCGACAGCAGTTAGTTACAGATTGTGACAGATGGAGGAGGCTCTTGCTAGTTGAGGTGTAGTGAGGAGTATCTCAAGACATCAGAGGAGGCTCTTGCTATTAATAGTTGAGGTATAGTGAGGAGTATCTCAATCAAGACACTAGATACTCCAGGACCCGGGTGGCTACAAGAGAAGAGAGTGAAATGGAGGCAGAGAGAGCAGGGTCCGAAGGCAGGAACACCTGGAATACAGACCTGATGATAGCAGCCTGTCGATCGGTAACGAGTTCAATGGACAGGTTTTATCTTCTCGCTTGCTGACGAGTATAACGCGAAGACAGAAATGAAGCCCCCTTGCTTTGGACGTTGCAGGGAACATAGTCTCCCCACCATTTAAACGTTATACCTGGTACTTATGGTAGTCGTGGTGGGTTGGCGACCAGATCCCGTTGTTCTACAAATAGCTGTGACCGCTTTTGGTCCCCCGACCTCTGAGGGAGCACACAAACGCACACAAAACCTCGCGAAATTGATTTAGGAAGGGAAGCAAAAAGCAGTACACCAATCGTTTATTCTGCACATGAAAACATAAGCATTCCCGCGCCGGATTGATCTGCGTGTGGTGGGAGCGCGTGCGTGCTCGAAAAGCTTGTTCGCAAGGCTCAGCCCCGCCGGTGTTTTGCCACATAGTTTGGACAGGGCATCTCTCTTATCTCTCTTTCGAGTGCGGCGACGCTCGGGCGGGGCTCTTGGCGAACACGGTGTGTCTCGCTCTGTAGAAAAACCCCGCGCAAAGGCCTCTCTCTGAGAAAGAAGAGCTTCGTGGGCAACCTGTCAACCGTTGTTGGTTTTGACATTTGGGTTCGGCATTGTTCGTAGCGGTTGGCTTGCCTTCGAACTTCCGTGGGTGAAAGGGGGTGGCGAAAAGCAGCGTCAACATCGGAAGGGACAGATTGCAGAGAGTCGCCAGGACCTCTTCCCCGACCAAAACAGTACTGGGCGACTTCACGCTTACCGCTATCGTTACCGATTCACCTAGTGTGGCCGTCTGCTGTAAGAACGATGGCATCGGTGCCGGGACATGGAGCAACTGCGACTCCAGACTGCACCCACTCCCCCTTCCCCAGGCATGCCCCCCTCTGCTACATATTGTTCATTCGGTGCGCCAATCATCCCAGAGCGCTCCGGGCATCAAACGCATGCATGGCAGGAAAACCCGCGACATGTTCCGTCTCAGCATTTCGAGAGGGTTTCTGGCCGATGGAAATCCACGAATCCAAGGGGTGGGTGTGATGGAGTGAGCACAGAGTCCTCTCGCTGTCCTCCCGCTGCTAGCATTTGATCTGTCCCTCTTTCTCCTTGGTGCTTCTTGCTTACGTCAGTCACCTTTGCACGTCTGGAGGAGGTGCAAGGATCCGTTCGATGATCTCGTACATTTCGAAGAGTCTGCGAAACAGAAACGAGAACACCAAGCGAAACGACGTCGAAAAACAATCAACAGCACCGAGAAAGTAATAACAAAGACCTGCTATATATCTTAGAGGTGGACCTTGGTCTACGTGAGGGGGCACCGCGAATCGAATGTATTTTCTCTCCGCGCACCGGTATACCCAAAGGTTAGGCGCCCGATGCAAGCTACACCATTCGAATGTGTAAAACAGCGAGGGCAGTGTGAGTGCCCTACTATATTACTGTGGCATATGTAACCCGCCGTCACCTCTGCTGCAACGTTCCCAAGAACGTTGAAAACTACGACCCCTTCCCTCTGAATAAACCTGTGCACCTGGCTTTGACGAACACCACTGTAAAAGCACGAACCTTGTTTTGAGCTCATCCACACCCGTTCCGTCAAGCGTTGAGAGATCGAGGTACCCCTCCGGCAAGGCCTCCTTAGCCTTTTCCAACTCCAGGCGGGGGAGGTCCGCCTTGCTCACGACGTCTAACCATGGCCGGCGAGGAAATCGTCTTCTCAGCTCGTGTCGAACTTGCATCTTTGCCACATAAATGAGGGAGGGAGGGAGGACGGGAGGGAAGCACGGACAAGCACACACACATAAGCAGAAGAGATGAGCAGGCAGGGCGATGGCTCACTTCCGCAAGTCGCCCGCCTGTGCGCGCTGCGCTGAACACTATAATATACGCAACAGCTACAAACTGCAAACCAACGGAACATCAACTCCACATGAGGTCTACCAATCTGGCCAGGAACAAGTCACAAGCACGCCGCATGCTTTCCGAAAGGTGTTGGACCGGTACGCACGCACATCAAACTCCTCGACTGCCTGCTCAAGCCCTAACACGGCAGAGTACTGTCGTCCTCGAGACATACTGCCAAGACCTCAAAAGCTGTGGCTGTCATCGCGCATTCCTGCACCGCCATCGATTTCCACGAGACGGGACCGAACACAACTCGGGCATAAGCCACGATCGACCCTAACAACGAAACCACGCGTACAGCGGTCAGCAGCGGCTACACAAACGGTTTGAGAGATAATGCACACGAGAAAAATACCTATTCAAGAGAGTCCGGTACAAGTCGCCTGTCCCGGCTTCAAGAAACGGTACTCGAAACTATTTGGACGTATGAGAGTCTCACGAGCGCGCTTGTACGAAACACGTAGACCTCATAATAGTACTGATGAAGAGAAAAAGCGGATCTGAGAGGGTGTTCTGGATGAAACGAAAAGCGGATCTAAGAGGGTGTTATGTTTTGCGAACTTCTCCCGACCCTCATCTCACAAAAACCGCGGCCGACTACCGCACCTGGTTCTCAAGGGAAGAGAGGTGTCCGCTGTGTCCGGAAAGGTCCATCACGAAGATTACCGCAGTGGGCAGGTGCTGCATCGACGCGAGTGTCAGCGCTTCCATCTCGTTCCGCTCTCCATCGGGACGCGACAGAACCCCGGGGGTGTCCATGATCTGGAGGCGTCACGTTCGTTCACGCATGCCTCAGTTGGGGGCTATGGGGTGTGGTGGGGAGCGATGTTGTCGAATGCACGCCCCGATTTCTTGGGGCAACACGCGTCATTTGTTGTTGTTTTCGTGACCTCTTGGTTCGACCGAAAGCGAACCGATTCTGTACGCGCATTTGGTTTGCCGTGCCTGCAAGTGGCCAACCTCTACGCGCTATCTCGCAACACCCGACGAGGGTGGCTTCACGCTTGGAGAGCCAGCCTCAGCTTCCACCGAACAACGCCGTTGGTCTGTGTTCCGATTGCTACCGATGGGCTGGCTAGCCTAGCTGCCACACACGACGGCCTCTCCCTCGAACGCGTGCGGAAAGCTCGTGCCAACTAGAATCCGTCATTGCCCTCCGTTGTGAATCGTTTGTGGCCCAAATGCCCGGAGCGTCAGATAGCTGCCTACAGGAGAAGAATAGTACACGACGAGGAAGAGTTTGGCCCGTGTCCCGTCTTGCACAGGACAACGCATTGCACAGCCAGCCACCGGGCGCACAAAAAACAGGCAACGCCTCCTTCCCTTCCTCCTTTCATATCGTCCACGAGAGGAACGTAGCCGCTCAACCAAGCAATTACCTTCTACAAGGCCCCCCTTCCTCCCCGACCCAACTAATTACGACTCGCGCCTGTCACCTGATACCGCGCGTTTGTCTCCGGGTGAAACATGTGGCCCAGAGCCATCCCCCTGGTGGTGAAGGGGTAGCTGTTAACCTCGGGGGTGCCGGTCGAAACGGCTCGCACGATGGAGCTCTTGCCGACGTTTGGTGCCCCAACCTGGCCGAGAGGACGTCGACAAGTGCAGGCACGTTGCCGCCGGCACGCGGGGGTAAATGTCAGCACCGAGGAGGGAAAAGGCGAGACACCGCAAGGGGCGGAGAGGAGAGATGGCATCTCCGCCCCAGACCAGTTTTCAATACTCGATTGCTCCAGGTTGTGCCAACACCAATGATAGTGGTGTTTTGGAAACATGGTGTCGAGGGCTTTCCGTATAGACGTATCGGGGTCTTTCGGCACCCGCTTGGTTGTAAAGCAATCGAGCTTTGAAAGTCGTTCTCAGGGGGTGTCATCTCTCCGCGCCCTACGATACTCAAGACAAGAGCGGGAAAAGGAAAATAACTCGCAGGGTTCACAGGATGGGGAACCACGGCACGCGGTCGTGCCCAAGAGGTTTTTAGCCACCCACACGCGGACGAACTGTCTACCGTGTGTTGTGCAGGCTCGGATGCATACGCAGAGGCCAACCAGGTACAAGGGAGTGTCTCATAAGAGTCCTACAAACGCTTTCACTTGTTCCTCTCTTTCTCTCTCTTCCTCTCTTGTCTCACCAAAACCACCGTGGGGAGGTGCAGCTGCACGATGGGCAGGCTGCGGAGAGACTTCTGTATCTCCGTCAGATCTTCGAGGACACTTCCGTTCGTCAAGAAGTGATCCTCCATGCGACTGTAGCCCGCGTCCATGGTCTGCATGATCTCCGACTTCTTCTCGCCCAGCTTCCCCTCCCTCGCAGCGGACTTGCTGATCTCTAACGCCACCTTCCGAAAGTCGTTCACATCATCCAGTACTGACTGGGGGTGGGTGGAGGAAGGGAAAAAGGTAGGAGTACGATCAGCGCGCAAGCATGGACCAGAGAGCAGCGGGCGGGGGGGGGGGGGGCTCATTTCTTGCTTGCCTTGTGTTGTCTTACCATTGCATAAGCACCCGTTTCGAGACGGAGCACCGTTCCTATTCCTAGTAGAGACTCCGTACCATTCCCGGGGTTCCATTTTGTTATCGCGTTTTGACCAAGCCGCGCACAAGAAAGGTGCCTATACCCTACACGTAGTAAACAAAGTAATCATTTACACAATGAAAAACACATCACATCCATCTCTTGACCTCATCTCTTTCTCGAGGGCTTCCCTGCTAAATAGCTCTTTGAAGAGTTTTGACTTTCCCCAACGGTGTGAGTTCCACTCTCTTCTGCAATGCCACATGGATGGGTGTGTCATCGGAGAGTTTTCTTCTCCTCCCGCCTTCTGGTCTTCTTTCTGGCAATTCCACATACCCTTCACGTACCCTACTCGAACCCTCAGTTTCAGCTGGTTCCCGTAGTCCATCGGGCCATGTAGACAAACCAGTGATCCCTCTTTCAACAACTCCCCGTACACCTCCTAGTTTTCCTCCCTAATCTCCTCTCGTACAGTGGAGGTTCCCGAATAAGGCGGAGCAGGGGCTGCTGATAATAACTGCCTTATTCAAACTTGATTAACCCGTCTATGCCAGCCAACTCCACCCTCCGTAGGGCGACCGCCTTATTCAGACCAGTGCGGACCCCACTGCATCTAGCCTCCCCCCTTCTGTGTGCTATCCTATTCGTGCGCAAAATAAACACCTCCAGAGGTAGGCGCCTTGCTTGAGCACGGCAAGGGCGCAGCTCACCTGCAGCGTCCGCTCGCCCGTCTTCTCCCTCGCCCGCACCGTTAGGTCCGCCAAGGTCGCCTCAAAGGGGTGCAAGATGGGCAGCTGGTGCTTGTACTGCCGGATTATATCTCTCAACGGCTTCGACGTGGCCTTGCCCAACATGTCCATCCTCTCCGCCACCCACTTCCTCGACCTATTCCGGGCGTTCTTTATGAGCATGTCCTGGTTGGTTGGGTGAGGTGGGGTAATATGGGTCGCGGGAGAGGGTACGGGGTAGGGTTTCGCTGGGGCTGCACGCGCCGGTGGCATGACCTCGCATACTAAATCCTACAGCAGCAACACAACAACACGTCGCAACAACTCACTCCAACAAATGTGTGTGTGCTTTCGTCTCCATCTATTTTGGGCCCCAGTCTTCACCTGCCCGGTCTATGTTTGAGTGAGTGACGAACCAGATAGGGTCGCACAGGAGGAAGGGAAACACTGGAATCTCTTGCCTTCAACGTTTAGCGCGAGAAGGGTTCAGCAGGACGCTCAAATCTTTCGTGTGTCTAAAACAGCAATAGGAATCGGTTACCAAAATTTCAACTCTATTGTGGGACCAATAAATCAATGAATACATATATTTTCCAGGGTGTAAGGGTACTCTGTCGGGCCCACGATAAGCTATTTTTCGTCTACATGTACATATCCACAACTACAGGTAGGTTACGCGTTCCACCTCTTACTGTGTAGAATCCCGCAATCCATGCTGAAGAGAGTCCGAAGGCTAGGGTACCACCTGAACCATCGGGGCGATCGGCTCTAAAAGCGATGACTGAGGCGCACCTGAGACACCTTCTTGGACCTCCGGCTAGCGTGCGAGAGAAGCTCTATCGAGGGCGTGACGATGGGGAGGGACTTGAGTCCTCCTGTCGACGTTAGCCGCTTTCGTGTGGTGCCCCTTTTACTACGTGGCTGTTGTGGCTGTTGTTGGTGACGACGCTGCGATTCCGGCACTGACGAAAGCTGTTGGGGCAGTTGCGCTTCTTCTGTGAATTCCGGGGGGGGGGGTAGCACGGCTGTTGGTACAAGGAGGACACGATGACTGACATGAAGTTGAAATATGCTATGTCCCTCCCTGACGCTCAGTGGGATCGTCGACGTCCTTTTCCATCAGGCTGCCGGCGGTTCAAGTTGGATCTTGTAAATACATGTGCTCGAGCAGGCCTTACAAACACTTTCCAAGACTCCTCGCTTTGCACGGAGAATATCCGGAGAATAGCGCCAGATAAGCAACGCTGGATGTCAGTAAACCCACGCCATCACCTCACTGCTGTCTCCATGCGCCCAGAAGCTAAAACATGCTATGTAAGCCCTCCCGAACGCTGTTGATTGCTGCGCACCTTCGGTCGCTGGGTGGCCTTCTCTCTCTCCTTTCGTAGAAAGCGATGCAACGAGGCCCTCCGAGCGTCTCCGTCGCAAGTGACGGAGCGGTTGCCTCTCGCTGCTGCTGCTGCTTCTGCTGCTGCTTGTTCGTCCCCACACCCGGCACCCACGGAGCAGCGCCGTCCGTGGCGCGGCCGAGGCCTGTGACCTACAAGCGGAGAAGCTTGACGCGAAACCCATCGTCCCTTGGGGTAAGCCAAGAAAAAGCGTCAGAGTAGCGCACGCCCGTGTCATGTCCTCCACGTGCAGCAGTATCGCACACCCACCTTGCCTGGAGAGCTAACTGCACTGCTCGGTGCCTGCCTGCCCTCTCTTGTGTTGCCCCGTGGTGCCTGGCCGTTGCAACCTGCGGAGCCCCCAACAAACATACCATGGGGTTCTCGTTTGGGGTGCCCCGCAGGGCCTGCTGGCCTGTGCAGCTAGCAGTTAGCTGGCCAGAGGCATCTCGAGTAAGGCGGCAGCCAGCAATCACAGCAGGCAATGGCGCGGGCTGGAGTAGTTTTCGTGTTGGCTGGATTAGCATGGCCACACGACAATCTCCCGTTTGCCCTGGGCGCGAGGAACACACCGCCGTATGGCCGCTGTCGACGTCGAAGGGAGACGAGTTCGACGTCGTCGTTTGTACCCTCTGCAACAGTAACAGCTTTGCATGTTGGCAACAGAGCAGCGTGGGGTTTGCTACGCAGCAGTACAAGGTCTCGAGTGCGTCCACACGCCGGCAGGTGTAGCATGTACTCCGAGAGAATACGGGATAGTCCGGACGGCGAACGAATGCGCAGCGCTGAGGTTGAACATCAGAGCAGTCTCAACCGCACCCCAACACCGGCAAGGAGAGAGTATGGCAACGGCCTGGCCGCAGGCGGCGTTGGGAGCATGAGAGCAGACACCATCGGAGGCCTCGCGTTGCCGCTGGACCTGGGCAGAGCAAGCAGGATCACCAGGGTTGAGGTTGATAATCTGGCCATGGTGGACAACGTCTCGATCAAGGTGTGTGCGGATTCGGCGGTCTGTGTGTACTGCTGTGAACGACGGCAGGTGCCGAGCGATGGTCTAGACCTGCATAGCACACCCGCAACATGTAGACTGCATGTGCATGCCATCGACTTTTGAAGAAGGGGTCCCTGCGTGCACCTCGTGTGTGGAACGCGTGGGCACGATGTGGAACTTCGCAGGGACTAGGTCTCAAAAGTTCATGATCAGCATTATCTTGCCTCCTTATTCGGAGCAGATACTTGGATCTTGGCGCGCTTCCGCCCGATCTCGTTGTTTGCTGCGTACACCAATCGATGCAAGGCCACCTAGACATGTTCACGTCTGTAACATGAGCCACTGATAAAGACTTGCACGGTGATGGTTTTTACCACCTTGGTATTTGCTCATCGAACCGATCCAGCTCGGACGCGGCTTGGTCGCGGTCACCGGCGAAACGGGGACCGGCAAGAGCCTCATCTCCAGCGCCTTCAGCCTGGCTGCCGGGGCTCGCGTGAGGGGCGCCGACTTGGTGGGAAGCAGGGGGTCCACGGCCGCTGTTCAACTGCAGCTGGAGCTTGCCGAAGGTCACCGAGCGTCAACGGCGGAGGTTAGCACTGGCTAGGCGCGGCGGTTGCGTTCTAGTGTTGTCCTGGGAATTACTTGCTCGTTGGGCCTAGAGCAGTCGCTGGTGCCATGTACCACCTGCTGACAAGCGGATTGTTCGCAACGATTCGCCTCGTTGCTCAGAGAGGCTGCGTGGGAGGCCGAGGAAGAAGCGCTGGACGTTGACAGCCATACCTCGCGCTCCAAAAGCAGTACTGCTGCGCCTTGAGTACCCGCTCTCCTCGGTAGAAGGCATGGAGACAAGGAACCATTCACCCTATGACAACTTTGTACAACGTTGATGTGGGCGGCAGCGCATGCGCAAGCGGGTTGGTCTCATAATACTCGTGGAATTCATCAAAATGCCAGACTGAGACCACCCTCACGTGCTGCGATGCAGGTACTTGAACGTTTCGGCGTGCCCTTGGTGGATGGCGGGCGAAGACTGAAGGTGAACCGAACCGTGGGGGGCAAGGGGTCCTCGGCATCAGTGAACGGGTGCTCGGTGAAGGTGAGGCCTTAGAATCGCACAAAGGTGACGGTGTCGTTGCAGGGCAGCGTCGGCGTGGCGCGCCGATCGAATTCTTGCGGGTCGCGCTTCAGCACTCCGCAGCTACGTACAGGCCTGCTGCACGAGACTCTTCCCACGCATTTACAGCCGTTGGCGAGCCAAGTGGTGAGCAATCCGCGTGGTCCATAGGGATGCTGCCGTCAAACCGGAGCCGGTTATCTCTTGAGCATCCCCCCGCTCGAGCTCAATCTCTTCAGCATCACCCGGTGGTGACCTTTCCTGCCCCCACACTCGCCCCGTCATGACGCCAGCTTGGAGCCCTACGAGAACTCATGTCCCCCCTCATCTACACCGTCGACGCCAACGCCTTCGAGCTGTTTTCGCGGGCCGATGGCCGCCTGAGGGCGTTAGACCGCATGTTCACCCCGGCAGAGGTGGCTCTGGCAGACAAGGTATACTAGTGGCCTGGCTTACTTTAATTTTGTACCGCGCCCCGGTGGAGCGTCAGCTCATGCTAATTTTTGAGCATGAGAAAACACATGGATGGTTTCGTAACCGTCTGCCTCTCGTTTGACTGGTGTTGTCTTAGATGAGCGCCGGGGGGGGCAACAGAGTAGTTGGTGCGTGTCTGAGTGTTCAAGGGCCCCTGCCTTGGTCGTTCACAAGGTCGCGAGCGGTTTGCGTGCTCGATGCTCCCAAGCACAGTGACGTATGTCGCGCCTTGACGGCGGTAAACATTTCACCGTTTGTGTTGCCAGCCGGGAAACGGTGGACACAGGAGAAATACTGAAAGCAACGCGAACCCTGACTTTTAACCGTTGACACCGTCCCGCCGCTTCTTTCGGCTGCTCCGCTTTCGTGGTTGCTGTTGCGACGCCGCGAGCAGGCGAGGAGCGTGGTCGCCCAGCTGAAGCAGGCGGAAGCTCGCCGCGCGAGGCTGGAGCAGCGGTGCCGTTTCGAGGGTGGGCACGGGGGGGGGTCCGCAGACGACGCGTCTCTGCTGCACCACTGGGTGGAGGAGCTGGACGAGTTTCGAGAAGGGGAGATGGCCTTCATGGACAGGATGAGGTGCTGACAACGTGCTTTGCTTGTTGGTTGCGAACATGGAGAGAGAGAGAGAGAGAGAGAGAGAGTTGAGAGAGTCACAACCCATGCTTTCAGGGTGGTTGCGAGAGGGAATCTCGAGCGAGTGTTCTGTCTGTGTCCGTGGCCCCACCTTTGCTCAAGCGCCGTCGTCGTACATGAACCTCGGTGGCCGTCCCCCAACGATCAGCGACACCCCCCGCCCTACCTTCAAGACACTCACCGCCTAACTCTATCTACAATACTCTCTATAAGGCATGCACGAAAATGGCGGAAACCAAAGCCTCCGCTGACTTAACTCTCGACGACGTTCACAGCACAACCCCCTCCCCCCGCGCGCCCGCCCCCGCTCGCCCAGGTCTGTCGTAGAAAGCTTTGTAGACGACTGGGGTGAGGATATGTTAGGGCCTCTCTCCGAACCTTTTCTATCTGGCACGCTGCTGTCGGACGAAGATGCGGAGGAGGGGTCGAGAGGTGGCGTAGAGGGGTTGTCGGACCTGTGGCCGCGCCTGTCGCGGGTCCGGGAGGGCATGGAAGACTTGGAGGCTAGCCGGACGAAGGTGGAGCTAGCGAGGCAGCTGGCCGTGGAGCAGTCCAACCCCGAGAGCATCGCGCATGCCATCGGTAAGGTGAGACGGTTGCCTCACAGCAGTGGGGCACGTGCGTGGGTGAATTGTGGGTCGAGTGCGTTCCGCATCCGAATTTTCGGGCTGGTGCTCTGCGTGAGACCTTTTGTGAGTGCGCCCTTGCGTAGCGGGCGTATAAAGAGAGCTGCTACCGCTTTGTCTGCCGCTATTCACACTTCAAACGTTAAAGATGACCAGGCGACAGAGCAAGTTCGTACTCGCTCTTAAGACAGATGCACGTTTTTTCTTTCTCGTCTTTCGGTTAGCCTCAGAGGTAGAACGAGCAAGTATCCCCCTTTGTGCGTCGCGACATATTCCGCTGGCCGTGTATTGCATATATTGCATAGTCCGTGTGTGTTAGTGGACGCATGCATATCGACGTCTGGATGAACGCAGGAGGTGCTGTTTTAGGTGACGCTCCATGCTGGTCCCGCTAGCCGAGAGTACGCCTTTTTGATGTATCAAATCCACTTGTTTTGTTGTTTCGACGCGTTCGGACACACCACCGTCTCCTCCTCGCTCTTGTCGCAGATTCGAGGACTTCTGATTGATGCGGAGGACGAGAACGTCGGCCTAAGCCAGGACCTGTTGGAGGGAACCCACGAAGACCTCAACTCTTTGGAAGACTTGGTCAAGAGGTGCGTGAAGTCAGAGTAAACGAGCGAAGGAGGGAGGGGAACTGCCGTCGGCCAGTACACGACACGGCGTGATGGCGCTTGGCAGACCAGATCACATTTTGATTTTGTTCCGTGGGAGAAAAAATTGGCAAATATTGGTGGTTGTTGGATGCTCATCGGCAGGGAAGTGGACCCCCCTGCGAGCGGCTGAATGGGGCAGAAGACATCAGTCCCTGATGTCTGTCCCGGTTTTCGATTGGGCACCGTTGTCGCAACGAGCATCATGGGTGCGCGTTTCGGTGCTGCTCGTGTTGTGATGGGAGCATGGTGCCCCCTCGCAATGGCACCGACGACGCCTGTCATAGAGGAAGCTTAAGCTTTAACCGTGGTCACCAGAGTCGGCTAGCCGCGGCCTGCACCCAAACCACTCCTCTGTATTCGAAGCGGCATGACGTGGCCCTTTCCATGCCAGAAACCAACATCACGTCAAACCAACATCACGTCTCCGAGACGAAAGAAGAGCGTGTGCGGTCTCTGTTCCGGGTGCTCGTGTTGGGGGAAAACAGAGACTGGCAGGTGCCCACACTTTTTGCGGTGTGTTTCAGCGATACAGATACACGGCCTCCACCAAGGCTATCATGTCAGCAGAAACGCCACGGTTGTTTTTTCATCTGCTGCTTGGATTTTGTGTGTGTGTGTTTTGTGGCTTATCCTTGGACAGTGCCGGCGAGAAACTGGAGAGGTCGGTCGAGTCCCTACCGATGCTGCCGATAACTCTGGACGAAGTCGAGGAGAGGACTGTCAAATGGAGGGTGAGAAGGGCAAGGACAACGGGAGACTGACTGGCACCGTTGAGCAGAGTGTGTGTTGAGCGTGAAGGCTGAAGATGGGACTGTTGTGTCGTGGAATGCAGGGTGTGCGGTTGCAGCAAGGAAGGAAAGCGCACGATGCCATCGAGCTGGGGGCAAGGGGAAAGGGGGAGGGAATTTGGTCGCGTGACGGGCTTAAAGGCGTTGTTCGCATAAGCACACGTCTGAGGGAGAAGGTGGCGTGGTGCATGACTGCTTATCGATTTTGCCACTTGGACCATGACACGCGTAACCTTCTATTGTGTTGATTTACGGCACCTACCCGCTGCGGCATGACACTATTCCGGTGGTTACCGTATCGTTAACTAGCAGTAGCTTTGCGGTTTTCCCCTCTCCTCTCGCTATCGTAGGCCGAAACAGAACCACCGGTCGTGCCCCAAGTTTGGTGCGAAACTTGACCGTGGTTTTGTTGGGGTCATGTCAGGAATGCGGTTCCAAATATCCTTTTGTCACGGCCTTGTAGCGCCTAGCCCGAAATTCGACCGTGGTTTTGCTTTTCTGTCACATCAGGATCGTCTCGTCAAACATCCTTTTTTGTCTCATGGCCTTTGTGGACGCGCGCGCGGCGCCGCGTCATCGTTCAGATCGAAGGCGTTCCGCGTCTTCAAATGAACCCTCTTGTTTTTTTTTCTCGTGCCACCCCGATGCACCTGTCGGTGCATCATCCGCACCATAATCGGTTCGTTCTTTTGAGCTAGGTGTGTTCTTTTGTTGTTGTGTCCCGTCTCAGGATCTGGCTCGGAAGCACGGAGTCCCCCCGGAGCGGCTGGGGTCCATGCAGGCGCAGCTGAGGGTGGAGCTGGACGAGCTGGTGGTTGCGGCGGAAGCACTGCCGCTGGCCCGCGAGAAGGAAGAGCGGTGGAGGGCCGCGGCGGAGGAGGCGACCGGAGAGCTGTCGGCGGTGCGGCGAAGGTGCGTCTCGCAAGTCAAACCAGTTGCCGTGGTGTTGAAGCGAAATGGTCTGAGGACTTGGTTTGCATAACCAAATTTTTGTTGTCATGGCTTCACATGTAGCGACATGGTCTTAAGACTGAGCGCATGTTTTTGTTGGCCAAATCTCGAGGCTTTGGCACCGATAGTGATTTTTTTCTTTCTTTCCGTCGTCAGGGATCGTGTGTGGCTGGTCTCGGCACTTTTTCGCCCACCGTTGACATTCATTCTTGATGCACCAAAGGGCGAGCGGTCGCCGGAGGGATAGATATGTACACTATCATCACACAAGGGTTTGGGGGCCACGATCACGGTATACAGCAGTTACTTATACAAAGGGCGCATCTCGCCCCCTGGGATGTTCTAGCCACCGTGTTGGGGCCACGATTACGGCTTATGTATTATTTCCATGGTACGTACGAGGTGCATGTTGCCCCCTCACACATGCTAGTAGCCAGTTCCGGGCTGCTTGTCTACCTTCTACCCTCTCTGAACCGTGATTTGCTGCTCTTGATCTGATTCGCGGTTGTCCCAGAGCGGCTTTGGAGGTGGAGCAGCTGGTTAATCCAATGATGGCAGACGTCGGCTTGGAGGGCGCCACGTTCAAAGTGCGTATTGTTTGGGTTGACCCGAGTCTTTGCGGCGTCGAGGTATGGATGGACTCGACGATTCTGTCGAAGGTGGTGATGGCAGAGATGAGGCCTGAAAAAATCGTCACCTCTATGACTTCACATAGTATGCCCGTGCTCTCCCACTTAGTTTGCGAATAGTGCAAAGCGAGCATTTGTGAGCCGTCCAACTTGATGAAAAACGTTGCCGTAATACTGTCATCTCCCCCCCCCCCTCCTGCGAAAACGCGGAATATCGCTCAGTCCCGACATTGTAGGGATACAAGGTCAATGATCTAATGATTACCACATGCGTTTACGTTAGTACACCCCCCCCCATTTCCCGCCGCTGCGCCCCCCCGAACCCGTACCGACCGACGGGTTTGGCATGGTAGGTCTTCGTAGAAGAGTCCAAGACCCTAGGCCCTTCCGGAGCCGACCGCGTTCAGTTCCTGATGGAAGCTAACGAGGGGCAGACGAGGGGCACCGTGGATGCGGTCGCCTCGAGCGGCGAGAAGTCCCGCCTCCTGCTTCTCCTCGAAACCCGGCTGCCGCCGCCCCAAGCGAGGTCGACGGCCGAAGTCGGGGACCGCCGTGGCGGGGTCGTAGGCGAAGAGGGCGGTACGGCAGAAGACGTTGATGCTGACGGCGAGGCTGCTGGAACGGCGGCTGGTGGTAGTAGTGGTGTTGTTCGCGTGCCGCCGTGCGCGGTGCTGTACGATGAGATCGATGCTCATGTCGGCGGGAGGACGGCGGTGGCCGTAGGGAGGCTGCTGGCCAACCAGGGCCGAGACTCACAGGTGAGAGAGAGTGAGCTGCTGCGCGTTTCTCGTTTTTTCTAATGCGGGCAGCTGGTATAGAGCAGTGCTGCGGTTTGTTCGGGTGGGAAGACTGAAAGAACATATGCATGCGCTACAGCCTGCTGCTGCTGTGTGCCCTGTTTTGTCTAACGCTGTGGGTCATGACGACTTCCCCCTGCGCTCGCAACGACAATAATGGATGGACACCCAGGTGGTAGTCGTGACCCACACGGCGTCCGTTGCAGCACTGGCGGACCAGCACTTGGTCGTCGACAAGGCCTTAACCGACGCAACGGCGGTGATGGCATCTGCCGGCAACGACGGCATCAGCAGCATCAGCAGTAGCAGCGGCAGCGGAGGCGGCGGGGCGTGCGATACAGTCGACGCGGCCCCGCCATCATCACCACCACCACCACCAACAAGGCCGTCATCGCCGCCCGCGGCAGACGGTGCGGACGAGCCGTTGTCTTCCTCGGCACGGCGGTCTCGACGGCAAGGGAAGGGTCGGGTCGGGGTGAGCGTCTCGATACGCGAGGTCAACGGGCGAGAAAGAGAGGAGGAGCTGGCTCGAATGGCGGCCGGGGATATGGGGGGAGGGGCAGCAGCGGAGCTCGCGCGAGAGATGTTGCGGTACAGCCGTCGGCAGGGCTCGTAGCCCTCCGCCTCCGAAGTTCGGCGACTGTACGTTTTATCGACCCGGACGGGATCGAGGAGGTTAGGAATCTGGTTCGTTTCCAGCGGGCGCGTTGGACACGGCGAGACGTGCGGGCCACTCGTGTTGACTTTGCCGTATGCCACACCGGGGGCAACGCTCTTTGAGTCCTGCAGCGATGGCGATGTTTGTTTTGTATGCATTGAGCGAACAAGGGTTTCGCCACAGTACGTCGCACGTTGTTCGTTTTGACCAAGGACGGTTTGAGCTTCTCCAGGTTAAGACGGATGAATGGGCGGGGCTGAGACCGTCCGGTTGAGGTAGAGGAGGCGCTGTTCTCACACGGCCGCTCGAAAATATGTGTGCCTGCGCCGTGGGCCGTGAACCGCACACATCGCTACCGCTTTCCCCACAAGATGCTCTGCACATCTTCGGGATGGACTCCTACAGCGCTTTGTGTTCGAGGTCGACATAAGCGCTTGTTTTTGGGTGGAGGTGTATTTGACAAGAGCTTCACGTTACAGCATCGCTGGTTTGCGTAGCACCCCGGCTTTTTTTGGTTTCCAAGCTTCGATTGCTTTGCATTTCGCATCGGACAAGTTTCCGATCCCCGCGGACTGTTTTTTTCAACCTGGTTTCTCCAACGTACCACCCTTCTTGGTGTTGTTTGCGATTCGCCTGCTGGTGTGTGGTGCGAACGAGCTTTCGAACTAAGTTCAGCACGGTGTTCTCGCGTACAACAGACGTTAGGGCAAGTCCTCACTCTACAGAGCCGCAGGTGACCCAGAGAGAGAGGTGCCGCAGAGTTTGTTGGGGGTGCCCCACTTCTGATGTCACGGAGTCCCGTTTCTGCGCTCAAGGGCGAGGGCGTGATGGGGTTCGCCCTCCCCTGGTTGGAAAGACCAGTCCAGTAGCGTGTAGGGTGTTGTGTAGGGAAATTTCGTGCCATAAGTACAGTGCGGGGGGGGAGGGGGGGTGAGGGTGAGCACTGACCCCACGAATACTCAATATATGGGGTGTCTTTTGGTCTTCGGGGTTGGGTAATAGGCGCGTTGTTCCGCTTACACTTGTAGATTGGAAACAGGGGCGGAAGCTGTATTAGTGGGTTTCTGCGTGCTTGTACCCGCCTCTTGTGTGCCAAGGTTGTTTTTCGGCTTGGCTGTGTAGTTTTACCGATACGTTTTCCCTCGTGTAAAAAACAAAACTCCAAACACCTTTTATACCCTGCCCGAGCTGCGGAAAGAGGGAATCGTCTTGGACAGACGTTAGAGAGATGCCAACCTCTTCAACGGTTATCTCCACGTTACCGCCCCCCGTCATGAGCCTTGTTTTTATTGTTCACTAGAACGGCAAAGTACCGCAGGAGGTGTGGGTAGGGCCCCTCAGGGAGAGGAACCCGTCTGTTTGACCACGGGTTGGAGTGAACGGCGCAAGTGCTGTGAGCGCTGATTTGAAGTGAAGACAAAAAATAAAAAGAGGACAGGAAGAAGGCTTCTAGGGGGTAACCGGAACCCGGCCGGCTGGCGGCGAATGGATTCACTTCTTAACAATCTTCTGAGCGTGTTTTTTAACTGGCGCACCACGTCCGCCACGACACAAGGTAGTTACAATACACGAGCTCCAAAATCTGCTTTTTGGTGCCAACTGTTGGTGGGTGGCGGGGATTCGAACCGGGGTTTTGTTCCACCGAAATGAACCATCTCGTCGTGAACGCCAACAATGTACGAAAGAGGGAACAATCGTCCTCGACCGAAGTTGCGGAGATGCGTGACCCCTTTTTGTAACACCATTTCCACAGAGCGTGGAGGAGGATATTATCAAGTATAAACCACAATCGTTCATTATCACCTTCCTCCCCCCCCCCCGTTCAAAGACTAACGAAGATTTTGAGGGAGGGATGAAGCAAATGTGGGTAGGAATTCAAGGGATAGTGGGCAACAAAAGAGGGGGAGACACGGAAATAACGACACTAAGATCTGCCGAGGGTAAGATGGTAAGCAGTTCTAAAGGAAAGAGGGAAGTACTAGTAGAGCACTACCGCAAACTTGGGACACCCACCACCAACGACAACTTCGACTCGGAGTTTGAGAAGGAAATCAACTCGTGGGCAGAGGAAAACGTTGAAAGATCTCAGAGGGAACGTAGTGATGTAGACGGGTTGCAGGGAGAGTTCACACGAGAAGAGGTAGAGGACTGCGTAGCGAAACTCAAGAATAGAAAAGCGGCAGGGGCTGATGGAATTGTGAACGAGCTTTTGAAACAGGGGGGGGAGGGGATGATTAACATGTTGGTCCGGATATTCAACTGGACATGGAAACACGAGTACGCGCCGAAGAGATGGAGAGAAGGAGTAGTCGTGAACTGTTCAAAAAGGGGGATAAAGCTGACCCGGGGAATTATAGAGGGATAACCCTGTTGAGCACAGTGGGGAAACTGTTTGGCAAGATGATAGACAATAGAATGGGAGACATGTTGGAGGGGAAACAAAAGATCAGCGAAGGACAAGCTGGATCTAGACCAGATCGTAGTTGTGTAGACCATGTATATACGTTGAGTAAAATCATCCAAGGTAGGAAAGACGCCGGGCGTACGACATACTGTTTCTTCCTCGATATACAAAAAGCCTACGACACCGTATGGCGCAATGGATTGTGGAAAAAGATGTGGGACATCGGCATCCGGGGGAAAATGTGGAGGATGTTGAAAAAGATGGCAGAATGCACAAGAAGTGCGGTGATGTTGGATGGGGAAATTTCGAAGTACGTGGATATACTCCAAGGAGTCGCACAGGGCTGTACGATGTCACCCACTCTTTTTAATATTTACATCAACGATTTGATAAGGGCGGTTGAAGCAGTAAGACAGGGAGTCCAAGTAGAGGGAAAGAGTGTGTCCGGACTGATGTTTGCAGATGATTTCGTGGGGGTATCCGAAACACCAGAAGGGTTGCAAGAACAAATAGATGCGGCGGTAGGATACACCCGAAAATGGAGACTGTCGGCGAACGTAGGAAAATGCGCAGTAGTAGTCTGTAACGAAGATAAGAAAAATCCCGTACAATTCAAATGGAAATGGGGGGAGGAAGAACTACCGGTAGTAGACAAGTATACGTACCTGGGAGTAGAGATTTCGAAGGAGTGCTCATGGGACGCACACATAGCGAAGTTGATTGGGAAGAGTAAAGCTCAGATAGGCAAGATGGACGAGATCCTTACGGACCCACACCTAGACACTAGGATTAAGAGGTGTATTCTCTTGAATGTGATTGTACCTAAGCTAGAG